TGCCCAAAGTTGTCATTCTTTTCTTAACCAAAATTCTCCTTTGTCTGTTTATATTATCGTGTCAACACTAAAATCTCTCAGAATTGTCCACATAAAAGGCATAGGAAGCATTTGGTTGCAGTGCTGTAGAATCGCATTTTAAAAAATAAACACTAGTTACACGTACAGAATGTCAACTGAAAGTATAAGATCCAGTAAAACTATTATCCGGGTATTAGTAGTTCTGTCTTCCTAGGTAAGCTTCCTTTCACAAAATGTAGCCAAGTTTTGGAGTAATACAGAGTTTCTAAAAACTGGCAGACAGTCTGTGTGTACCTGGATACTTAAAATTTTTTGTATGTTACTTTTTAGTTTCTGGGTTATGTATTCTTTTACCTGATTATTAGAACCCCATAAAATAGCCTTCTGACTTTAAAAATTTCCCTCTAGTATGCTTTTTTTTTTTGGCAGGACATACACTATAAAAAAAAAATGCCCTCTAGCACCTCTATCAGAGGAAGGGCGAAAAGACAGTTTTCTGCTTTTTAATAAATCTGCCAATGAACGGTAGGTAGAAAGCAAATAATTGGCTAAAATAATAGTTTTAGATGACCTGTGAATTTCTATTGTTTCTTCTGGCCACTGTATCTAAAAAACAAACTAATACATCGAAAAAAATCCTATTTGGGAAATCACTACATTTTAATTACTAAGTTTCCTTTCCTTTTCACTAGGAAAGAGTTTTTCTTTGACTATAATTCCCCTTACTCAGGGAAATGTCAGTAAATCATCGGATTTTCATGGCCAAGTCCAGAAATGAGGGTACCAGTCAACAGAACCTTCGACTACGTGTGCATGGCCACCATCAGCCACATTGCCTCCTGGGCCACCACTGTTCTGACTCACCGTCTCGTCTCCTGGGAGTCTGCCTGACCCCTCTTTCCCTCCACAACTGCTGGTTCTCAAAATGGGTCCTGCAGCCTCTGGGCCAAGCAGACACCCAGGATGTGTATTCATGGCATTTATGCCGTAAAGGAGAAAGAGTGAGATCTTTCTCCCACCCCAAGCTTAGATCCGGCCACCTAGGAAAGGCTGGCAGTCACCTAAATGACAGCATTTGGTAGTGGTGACTATTCTAATTGTAAACCGCCTTTACTAGCCACCAAATTGTACATCTACAATTTGGACTTTGACCTGGGAGGGTATGGACTTTTTCACAAATAGATGGCTGAAGTTTAGGTTTATTTATGCTTTTAACTTCTATCCAGTAGATCTAGTAATTTTCATCCACCAGGGGTGCAGGTGTAATTCTGGGTACCCCAGATAGGAGAACTTCATCACTCCAATTCAGACAGATTAGTGAAATTTGGGTGAAAAGGTAAAATGCTTTTAAACCTCAATATGTACATATAATTCTTTGTCAAAAGGCCAACCAGATTCAGGAAGGGGAAATTCTAACCAATCCATTCAATTTAACTTCTTTCTGGAAATAAATGAATAAATCACAGAGATGGAAAGATATTTAGACTGGGTGGAAAAATCAGTAGATGCCAGCATTCTATACTTTTAGGAAGGCTTAACATAGACCGTTCCTCAGCCTATGGTTTGTTCAGTCGTGGTATGATCTGATGACAGCATTATTTTAAAAGATGAAAGTAGTGGTATGCTGAGGGCAGCTCATATAGACCAGTTGTTAAATTTCCAGGAATTTTGCAAACCAGTTAACATGCATTTTGCAAGCCAGTCGACTGCTTGTTGAATTGGCCCTTGTAGGAGTATTTACATTAAAGAAATCAACAAATATTACATCAAGTCACAAATCAATCTCCTCCCCACCCCCAGACAAACCCGAGTGTTGGGTATTTACCAGGAGATTGCTGGATAAGAGTTTCGTTTAGAAATACAGGCGCCTGGGTGGCTCAGTCGGTTAAGTGTCCGACTTCGGCTCAGGTCATGATCTCAGAGTTCGTGGGTTCGAGCCCCGCGTCGGGCTCATTGCTGACAGCCAGCTCAGTGCCTGGAGCCTCTTTCAGATTCTGTGTCTCCCTCTCTCTCTGCCCCTCCCCTACTCACGCTGTCTCTCTCTCTCACGCTGTCTCTCTCTCTCACACTGTCTCTCTCTCTCTCTCTCTCAGACATATAAAAAAAAAAATACAGACCAAGGAGCAGTATCAATGGGATAAATGCTGAAGACTTATAAATAGATGGTTTCCTCAGAGTTAGATGTTGGCATTAATTTTGTTTAGCATTTTTATAAACTTTCTGGAAAGAGGTGACATACAGAGAAATGTCCATATTTTTCCTAGGACATTAAATGTTCCCACAGTTAAAACATAAACTGGAGGGTTAACACCCAGAGCTCTTAGTAAGACTGTTAATTGGCTGATTTATAGATTAGTTCAAGTAAGGCAAAAAAAAAAAAAAAGGCAATTTGGGGGGAAATTATCTTAAAATGCTCGTTAGATGATAAAGTATACCCTTTACATGATGTCCTTAAAATGGAATTTAGGGAATTCTGTAGACTTTCTATATTCATTAGTATAATTTTTTAGCTGGGACAAAAAGGCAACAAAATGGAATAACTGTCCCACCCTTATAAAGAAACCTTGGTACACACTTTCTGCACTTTTGGTTGACATGCTTCAAGGATAATGTAATGGGACTAGAAAAGTTTCAGAGAGAAGAGTGTAACCTGATCAGGGGATTATAGGAATCTTAGATGAGGCTAAGATTATATTAACTAGCAAAGCCTGAAAGGTTTTGAATAAGGTAAATATAGATGGATTTAGCAAATCCTGAAAGAAGAGAATTATAGAGTACCTCTCTGATGTTTGAAATAAGAATTTGTAGATGAAATAAAAAGAGACACATTATTGTTTCTCAAGGAAAAGAAGTAATGATAGTAAAAAGCCTCAAAGTTAACCTTTGTCAATTAAAAAAAATCATTGCATTTACATATTTTTAATGTGCCAAATTTGCTGTATATTTCTTCTAATCAATGACCTCCCTTATCAATTAGGCTCTATCAGTGGACGGAAGAGTGTGAAGTCCCCTCTTTTCAATTTCAATTTAGAAAACACTTAAAGTGGATTTTTTGTTGTTGTTTTAAGGCAAAGAAAGAGCCATTATAATTGTTCACTCTCACTGATGAGCCCCTCAGGTGGGATATGTTCCCAAAATAGAACAGCTTTGCACTTTTTTTATAAAGACAAAATTTTTATAAATCAAAATTTAGTTGATTGATTTTACTGTCCTAATTAGAACTCACATCTTGGTTAATCCTCAATTTCTTTTTAAAAAAACTTCAGGTTTCTTGAGAATGCATTAGGCAAAGAGAAGTAGATAATTGATCACACTATTCTGGGGGGGGAATATCCACAATAGAGGGCTCTTTGGGTGTGGAAATATAGGGCAACTTACATAATAACAATTAACAGACAAGCAAATGTCTTTCAAAAAATAAAACAAGGCTGTGTGTGATCTGGATAATACAAGCTTCAGAAAAAAAGATTTTCAGGGGCACCTGGGTGGCTTGGTCAGCTGAGCATCTGATTTCAGCTCTGGTCATGATCTCATGGTTCTTGAGTTCCAGCCCCACATCAGGCTTTGCGCTCATAGCACGGAGCCTGCTTCAGACTCTCTCTCTCCCTCTCTCTGTGTCCCTCCCCTGCTTGCTCTCTCGCAAAAACAAATAAATATTTTAAAAAGATTTTCATGTTTAAGGTATTAAATAACTTAAATTTATTATTTTATTATATAATATAGCTTTTAACAGTTTAGAGTTGAATGTCTAGGATAATCTAAAAATGGAAAGCTGTGGCAAGTGACCTAACTATCTTGCAGTTATTTTTTCTTTCTTTTTAATGAAATACGTGCATTCAGAAAAATGCACAAATCATAGTGTACAGCTCAGTGAAATTTTATAAAGTGAACACATTTCTGTGACCACCACACACCCAATCTAATGGTTGTACGAGTGTGTGCACACTACATTATATATATAATCTATAGATTACGCATCAATTGTTAACACCAAGAGTATTCACCTGTATTCCTATTTTTTTTAATGTTTTATTTATTTTTGAGAGAGAGAGAGAGGCAGCATGAGCAGGGGAGGGTCAGAGAGAGAGGGAGACACAGACTCTGAAGCAGGCTCCAGGCTCTGAGCTGGCAGTCAGCACAGAGCCCGACGCGGGGCTCGAACCCACGAACCGCGAGTTCATGACCTGAGCCGAAGTCGGACGCTTAACCGACTGAGCCACCCAGGCGCCCTTGTATTCCTATTTTTAAGGATGTGGGGGGGGGGGTTCAGATTTAATTATGGGAGGATTTAATTCGACTTTTAGGGGAATATTAGCTTTTAAGGTAAATTACCCATTGTTGTTTTCACCTTTTGTGTATTTTAAACACCTTACCACAAGGTTTCAGAGAGTTCACAGTGATTCTTTTTAAACCTCGGAAAGGTGCGCGTCCTGGAGCTGAGATGGTAGAGAGCAAGCTGCATCCTTAGCTGATTTCACACTTAGGTCCATCTTTCAAATTTATTGTTCTACGAAACTGAGGCCACCAATTTTTTTAATTCTGTTTATTAAAAGGAAGATAAATGTTGAGCCGAGAAAGGCACTCCACATAGACCTCAAACAGTGCTGCAAAACTGCAAACAGAATGTGAGGACGAAAGCAACTTTAAAGAAACAAATTTTGTTAAATTAAGTACCGTGACTAAGTACTTTAATTCCTTTTCTTCCAGCCCTAAAGGATCATTTGACATTGAACCTTTGAAGTTAAACGGGAGTCGCCCGAACTCTCTGCTACCCTGGGGGGTGGGGGGGTCGGTGTCACAGCCCCCGCGGGCGCCGCGGGCCGGCCCGGGGCCTCTCCCCTCCCCACTACTGCGTCCCCCAGCACCCATTCCCCTCCTCCCCTCCCCCTCGCCCTCTCCCCTCCCTCCTCCTCCGTGACCCCTGACCCCAGCTAATCTGCATAGAGGAATGACAGGCATCCGCCGGGCAGGATCCGCCTCGCCGGCTGCGGCCGGCCGGGCTGGGAGACCCGCGCCGCGGAGAAGGTGAGGGGATCTGGCGGGCAGCTCCGCGTAGCCCGGAAAATGAGCGCTGGGAAACCTGCCTGCGAGCGGACCCATGATCGAAGGACCAAAGGAGCCGCGTGATCGCCAGACCCGGCCCCGCGCCCCCCGACATGGGCCAGACCTCGGTCTCCACGCTGTCCCCGCAGCCCAGCAGCGGTGAGTCCCGGGCGCACGGGGCGCCCCGGCCGCGCGGGCGCTGCGCGGGCTCCGCGCCGCGGGGACGGCCGAGGGCTCGGCGGCAGCGCGGGCTGCGCCCGAACCCGCCACGTCCGTCGGAGAAACCCGAGAGGGAGCGCTCCCCCAAACTCTTTGTCGTGGAGAGTTGGAATGCGTTTTGGGATGCAGCCGATTTTACCTTAAAGGCACAGGCTCCATTTTCCACCCGAGACGCCTCGCCTGGGTGTTTATCTGAATTTCTTCGGAGCCTGAAAGTTACGAGAAACGCCGTTTGCGTTTTGCGGTGTTTTTAGAACGGGGAACTTAGAGAGCGAGACAAACGTGCCAACAGGTTTTTCTGTCTTTACGCTTGGCTTGCGAACAGACTAGAACTGAGTTCTTTCAGGCTTGTCAACTGATTTATGGTTTGTTTGCAGAGTAGACGCGCCGATTGCCTTCTCTTATCCTGGCCGAACTCTGAATACTTAGAAACCAACGTTAAAAAAGCTTAATGGTTTCAAAAGATCATCTGTTTTGTTTATATTAGACACGAAAGCTACAAAACTGGGGGAAACATCCCTCACCAACTCAGTGAATTGAGGGCTAAAGTTCGGTTTACGGAATCGTGTGTAACGTTTCTAAGTTACAGTGCTCTGTTTTAAAAGGTTTTTTTCCCCCTCTTTTCTTAACAAAAAAAGGGGAAGGAAGGTACATTTGGCATTTCTCCAGCAGGGTAGGGATAAACAACTTTTTGGTGGCGTTACTTGTAGATGGATAATGAAATAAATTCAAAAGGTACTATTTTGATATTTTCCCATCAACATTAAAAAAAACAGCCTCAAAGGGGCCATTTACGTTATTCCTTGAGATATCTGATACACTTTAAAAATTGTGTAAACATTAACAGGATCTTGCTGAAAGGAAGTGACAGGGCACAGATGATTTTTTTAATCAGCTCCAGGATGTCTCCTGCTAGATAGCATTCAGTCATTCCAACTTAACCCCACATGGGTTTGTTTACACTGTGGTGCTTCACACCCTGAAAAATCATAAGCCTTACTGTCACCAAAGGAGGAACCCACTACAAAGGAGAGAAATCAAAATCCAAGAAAAGATCACACCTTCCCTTTCTGTTAATGACGAGGGTTATACAGTGCACCATAACATCAGAGACTTCATATTGAGGCCTTTGGGAATGGGATGGGTGTGATGGGGAAGGGGTTGTTGGTTAGGATCTTCATTTTGGTAAACTATCTTCTGCAATTGAGGCTTAGTTTCCCTTGTCTTAACTTTAAAAGTGGCTTCTTTCATTTTATGGAAGAGTTATACTTTATATTATGCATATTATGGTAAAGCATAGAATTAAATCAGTACTCAAATACAACAGGGATAAAGTACTGCCCAGGACTTAGTTCTTTTGCTGCAAAATATTGTTAGAGTTAATATTAGAAAAGGAATTTTGCCTTTACAAAAAGCAAGGAATATTGCATAACTGATCACTAAGAAGCAGAACAGAATCTTAAAATATGACTGTTCTAGTTCTTACCCAGTATAATGAAAAATGCCCAGATTGCTGTAATTCCCTATAAAATGACTAATCATGTTTAGAAATTGTGCAGCAGATTCATACAGAAAGTAAGTTAAACAAAAAGTTAGGCTTGACCCTAAAAGGTATTTCATTTGGGCTTTTGTAAAATAATCATCATAGGCCGCAAGATAGCTTGCTTTTCACTCTTGATTTTAGGCTCGTTTAAACCTTTCAGCTTAAGGCTGCGTCTATTTCTCGAAGTTTTAGGAAGACCATTAATCATTATTTCTGGAAATACGCAATTAGAGCCATTATTTCTATTTTTCAAAAACAGCTGTATTGACATATAATTACCATACCATAAAACTCACCCACTGAAAATGTACAATTCATTATTTTTTAGTCTATTCAGTGTTGTGCAGCCATCAGTCTCTTCTCCCATCCCCCGCATCCCCCAGCCTCAGCCCTAATTAACGAATATTCTTTTATCTCTGTAGTTTTGCTTATTGTGACCATTTCATGGAATCGTACATCACATGCCCTTTTGTGACTGGCATCTTTCACTTGGCATGTTGTTATCAAGGGCCGTGCCTTTTGTAGCATGTATCAGTACTTCATTTCTTTTCATTGCCAGGTAATATCCCACTGTAGGAATACCACATTTTATCTCTCTTTCCATCAGTTGATGGACATTTGGGTTATCTCTGTGTTTTGGTTCTATAAATAGAGCTGCTATGGAGTTCACGTACAAGTTGTTGGTGAGCATATGTTTTCATTTCTATTTGGTATATTTCTAGGAGTGGAATTGCTGGGTCACATAGTAATTCTATGTTTATGTTATGTTTTAAGGAACAGCTAGTTTTCCAAAGCAGCTGTACCATTTTACATTCCCTCCAGCAGTATATGAAGTTTCCAATTTCTCCACATCCTTGCCAATACTTGTTATTTATCTTTTTGATTATAGCCATCCTGGTAAATGTGAAGTTGTATCTCACAGTGGGTTTTTTTTTTTTTTTATGTTTTATTTATTTCTAGGAGAGAGAGAGACAGCGTGAGCAGGGGAGGGTCAGAGAGAGAGGGAGTCACAGACTGAAACAGGCTCCAGGCTCTGAGCTGGCAGTCAGCACAGAGCCCGACGCAGGGCCCGAACCCACGAACCGCGAAATCATGACCTAAGCGAAAGTCGGACGCTTAACCGACTAAGCCACCCAGGCGCCCCTATCTCCTAGTGGTTTTGATTTGCATTTTCCTAATTACTAATGACACTGAGCATCTTATCATGTACCTGTTGACTATCCATATGTGTTCTTTGGGAAAATGTCTATTCAGATCTTTTGCCCAATTTTAATTAGATAATTTGACTTCCTATTTTTTTAATATTTATTTATATTTGAGAGAGAGAGAGAGACAAAGCACGAGTGGGGGAGGAGCAGAGAGAGAGACAGAATCCCAAGCAGGCTCGAACTCAAAAGCCATGAGATCATGACCTGAACTGAAGTCAGACATTCAATTGACTGAGCTACTCAGGTGCCCTTTGACATCCAATTATTGAGATAAAAGAATTCTTTATATACTGGAGATAAGTCATTACCAGATATGTGACTTACAGATACTTTCTCCCATTCTGTGAGTTGTCTTTTCACTTTCTTGATATAGTTTGCAATTCAGAATTTTGAAATGTTTATTATTTCCAGGTTACCCTTTTTTCTTTTCTTTGTATTTTTGGAGTCCTATCTAAGAAACCATTGCCTAACCAATGTCAAGAAGATTTATACCTAAGTTTTCTCCTAAGAGTTTTATAATTTTAGCTCTTACATTTAAGTCTGAGATACATTTTTGTTTACTTTATTTATTTATTATTTTTTTAATGTTTTATTTATTTCTAGGAGAGAGAGAGAGAAACAGCGTGAGCAGGGGAGGGTCAGAGAGAGAGGGAGTCACAGACTGAAACAGGCTCCAGGCTCTGAGCTGGCGGTCAGCGTGGAGCCCGACGCGGGGCCCGAACCCACGAACCGCGAGATCATGACCTAAGCAAAAGTCGGACGCTTAACCGACTAAGCCACCCAGGCGCCCCAACTTTATTTATTTAAAGTTTATTTATTTTGAAAGAGATTGAGCGTGCACGCACGCTTGAACGGGAGAGAGGCAGAGAGAGAGGGGAACAGAGGATCTAAAGCCCACTCTGTTGCAACAGGAGAGAGCCCAGTGTGGGGCTTGAACTTCGAAACTGTGAGATCATGACCTGAGCTGAAATCTGGCGCTTAACAGACTGAGCCACCCAGGCGCCCCTAGTTAAATTTTTTTTTTTTTTTTACAAATAGTTTATTGTCAAATTAGTTTCCACATAACACCCAGCGCTCATCCCCACAAGTGCCCTCCTCCATGCCCATCCCCCCTCCCCCCACATCCATCAGTTATTTTAAGTTAATTTTTATGTGTGGTGTATTGTAGGGTTCCAGTTTTCATTCTTTGGCATGTTGATCTCTAGGTTGTCCAGCACCATTTGTTGATTTGTTGATGATTCTTTCCCTATCGAATTGTCTTGGCACCTTGTCAAAAATCAACTGATAGTATATGTGAGGTTTGTTTCTGAACTTCTATGCTGTTGATCTGTTTACTAATGTGCTGTTCTGTCTAGATTACTATAGCTTTGTAGCAAGTTTTGAAACAGAAAAGTGTCTTCTAACTTAGTTCTTCTTTTGCAAGATTCTTTTCCCTATTCTAGTCTCCTTGCATTTTTGTATGAATTTTACAATCAGCTGGTCAATTTCTGCAAAAAAGCCAGCTGGGAGTTTGATGGGGATTGTGTTGAATAATATTGTTCTCTTAACAATATGAAGTCTTTAAATATGTAAACACGAATGCCTTTTCATTTATTTAGATCTTCTTTGATTTCTTTCCACAATGTTGTGTAGTTTTCAATGTAGAAGTCTTGTTCTTTCTTTGTTAAATTTATCCCTGCCTATTTATTATTTTTGATGCTATTATAAATGAAATTATATTCTTATAATGTCATGTGCAAGTAGAGATAATTTTACTTCTTATTTTCCAATCTCAAGGTCTTTTGTCTCTTTTCCTTGTCCAATTGCCCTCACTCATCATACACTATCATGGTAAGTAGAAGTTAGAAGTGCCAAGAATGACCATCTCTTTTTTTTTTATATATAACAGAACATTTAATTACATCGGTTTTCCATCAACACACTAGTCATTTAATAACGATTATATTGGCCATTTCCAATGGTTGGCGGAGGCTCTTCCACCAAACGCTACCTTCATTTCCAGTGTGTCATCTTTCTTGCCAGACTTAGTTCATTTTCAGCCTGACGAATCACCTCTTCTAGTCGGCCGCCCTGAGCTGGTCTTCAAATTTCTTAACATCTGATTCCACTCTAACCATGCTCAGCTTCTCATTTGTATTCTATTCTGTATATTTTCTATATGCTGCCTTTTTAGGAATTTGCTCAAGAAC